AGTTGACCTTCGGTAGGTAAATGAACGAGCATCTCTGGTCTGCCAGCGTGGCGCTCAAACAAACGTTTGCGGCATTGTTCAACTCCCGCGCTCCAAAAAAATGCTGCCCACCTCCCGCTTCAAGGCACCGTGAATTCCTCGACGAGAAACGTTTTGTTCTTCGACACCATGCTCTGCGCCTCCTCCAGTACGTGCTAAGTGCTGGTGCTGCCATCTTCTGCCCCCTGAACGATACTTAAGCGTAGCCGCTTAGGGCAAGCTGTGTGGGACTTACACCAATAAATGCGTGTCCCGGTACCATCATTACCATAGTAATGCATGTACTTGTAGTGACATCCGTCTAAGACGTCAATGCCCATCATGGCTTCCCCCAATGTGGGGAACACGTCACAAATCACAAAAGACTGCCGAAGCATCTTGCCTTGCTGCGAGCCCTCGTCGTCCGAAGACGACGCAAAGTCGCTAGCGCTGTCCGCCGGTGCTGCGCTCATCTTGAGCGAGAATTGATGAATAGTGAGGAGGTTACTCGGCTTCAGCCAGTCACTCCAGTCACGGCCAATTTTGTAAAATATTACTTCCGAGGCCACCTGTTTTACAATTACTCTGACTATCCTACAATTTACTCTAAGTTAAGCCGCAACTAGTTACACCAGCATCACGTCAGATGCATGTTTGGCAAGTCTTATACAGGTAGCTTTTTTGAACAAGCTCTCGAGATGGGATCTCATTAGTGTGAGCCAAACAAGGTGCACAATTTCCAGGTACCGCTTCGTCGCAATACAAAATATTAAGCCGAGGCAGTTATAATTTGAACTGAGTGAACATCCTCTCAGCGCAGGTTACTGGTGCGCTTTAATGGTCCCACATTATGACTATTAGTAGCGAGTCCAGCGCAAAGCAGAATCGGCAGCAGAATAAGCTTGCTAGACCGCAGCATTTCGAGATGCTCTGTAGCACGACAGCGAGAAGCATAGCGACGTTAGTAAGCAGGGGCAGTGGGAATTTAAGAGAAGCCTTAAACACTAGGAAATCGATTGGAAAGTGATGCTTATCACCGAGGAGGGTAGCTGGTGGGAGCTATAATAATAGTATTTCAATTTCATGTACAGTGGCACATGAGATCTGGAACCTATAGATTGTCGATAGAGGCAACAAACCTCGTGAGATGCTCACTAGCAGCCACACGAGGGCCGAGAATACTTGCCAAATTGCATTCCCATACAATTATCATTTGTATGATTGTGCTAACTACTTTCATTGTCATACATTATACTTGAATTTTGTAAGGTCTTAGGTGGCCGATTTATTTGGCGCACTGCCAAAACCACTTTATTGTATGCTGACCATGTGATGGATTGCAATCAAAGCTCTGACATATCTAAACAGCAATTTATAACGTTAAAAATTGATCGAGTTAAGGCCACCACGTTTGGGGCCATTCTAACTTGGCGCGGAGTGTACTGTTTAATACCTCTCTAAAACAATACAAAATGCCACTTAAGGCACAATGTTACTAATGTGAATTTGTGGATAAAATTTAACTTTTGCTCAGGTTACAGTCAAATTTTGTAGAAACGGACAGCACCATTGGCTTCGCGCGACAATTTTACGTCGAAATGTCAAATAAAAAAATCGTTTTCATTTTTGATAAGGAGATTTTTTGCCCTCTTTCTAATGGTGTGCTTCCATCGCGATTCGTACTTAGGCTCATCAGTATCATTTTGTTTTTGCGTGGTCTCATGTTAAATACTTGAAGTAGAACACTCTCTCACAATACCTGGTACATGTACGAAATAACTTTTGTTTTCCGCGGCGGCCTTCGAACAAGCGCGTTTATCTATTACAATACCATTGTACTTTGGTATCAATAATTCATGTTCGAGTCCTTAATCTCTCTAAACGTACTGATAAAAGCTTGCCACTCTTTCTCTAAGATTGGTGACGTTGCAGATACCCTAATGGCGGAAGCTGTAGCTACCTTTTCTCGTGCCTTTACCTCCGGCGCCCTTTGCGGCGCAGCCGCCCATTGCTGATGGCATAGTCGGTGAGGTCGGAGCATCAGTGGCAATAGGGACATCCGTTGTAGCCAGAGTGTCCGTCGTGGTCGGTGTCGAGCTTCCATCGCTTGAGGCGGCGGTGGATGAAGTCGTCGATGCAGCGGTGGATGAAGTGCTGGACGTTTGGTTGGTGGTCGATGCGCACGTGGTGGCCTGGATGGGGCTCGTGGTAAAGGTAAAGGCCGGTACTGTGAAGTCCGTGGTGCCGCCCTTCGTCCATGTGCAGCACGGATCACTGAACGCCTCGCCGTTTGTCATCGAATCTCCAGGGAATGTGGCCTTGCAAAACTCAGACGTCCACGAGTGCCCGGCATTTGCAAAGGCTGTCGCAAACTCCGTGTACATAGAGGTGTCCTTGTCCGGGTGTCCGAGCTCCTGCGAGAAGGAGCTTCCGTTTGGTAGCTCGTCGAGGTACTTGGCGAGGCCCATGACAGAGTCGAAGGTGCAGATGAGGACGGTCGCAAACGCTACGGACGTTTTCATTTTGATGAGCCGAATTGGACGAGGGTAAAACTATTGACGTTGTTGCTGATGAAAGCAAATTGAGGAATGATCGCTCTTAATGGGTGCTTCCACGGCTATGTGTACGTACTGCACCGAGGTACATGTACCGTGTCACGGTGGCAGGAAGGTCTAGACCAACGTGAAGTCGGCTACAGTTCCATCTGGTCAGCCTGTCGATTGATAGAGTATCCGTTCTGGTGGTCTGAGCCACAGTGAGTCGGTCGGAACGACAGCGACGACTTCTAGCCGCAAATATGCAGTCCTCGTGCGATAATTACCGCCCAGAACAGATAAAGCGTTTCCCTGTAGCCAGCTAGGTTAGCTGTTACCGGTATTGCAACAAGGTTTTAAGGTATCGCTGGCAGCCAAAAAAGAAACTGGAAGCGCTTCAACGTGTACCGTTTCCGGTATTTGTAAGCTATCTGCCTTTCAGCGCCAATCTGACAAATAACCGGCGTGAGGCCGGAATGCCCCTGCCCAGAGCATCTGAGTTTTCTTGTAGAACGTCTATTAATACAAAAAAATCTTTTCGAGCTGTGCTGATGATGGGGGACATGTAGAATTATTTGACTTGTGAGTTGCTAACCAATATGAACTACTCCTCTGTCCGAAGTTATAAGCGGTAAGAGCGGTCAAAATAATTTTTAACAATCGGAATGCGTTTACCGGTAGATTAGTCTACATTACTATTTGAAAAACAGTATATTTTCTGGTCGAAGTTTGATAGCCCCCTCGATGCTCTAATTACGAAATGGCAAAACTACTTATGAGCATTCTACTGAAGCTATAGCTCAAGCTGTTGCTCAGAGCAAACATACTAACGTATAATAGCGAATAGTGTTCCCCTAGCGAATCAACGCCCTCCTAATTGAGCGCCTTGCTTGAGAGCGATTTATAGAAATAGAACGCCATTAAATACAGCGCGCTGTCGTAGACATCCTATAATTCTAGAATCTCTTTAGAATCTTTTCAGCTCAATTTTTATAAGCCCATCGTTTTAAAAAGATCCCTAGAATTCTAGAATTGCTAAGAATCAGTTCAGCTAATCCTGTAACTCGCTACCTTTTGACTTGTCGTAACTCGATTTTTTTTGCCACTCGATCTATCCCTTTATATAATAGTAGTTTATTATTAATACTTTAATATAACCTCGATTTATAAAACGACCTCGGCTCACGACAAAAGCTTTGCAAAGCACAATAATACATGAGCTGATACAACTTCGAAGTAGTACAGGAATTATTTATATATTTTAAAAAATATCAAAATTCAACAAAAACCACTTTAAGAAAGTTGTTTAATCGTGAGCTAAAGTACGAATGTTTTTGAAGTCTGTGTAGAGTTTTTGAATAGGATTCCTTGTACTATTACAACAACGCCTAGAGACTCGTTATCTCTTTCTCTGTTTAACGACACTCAACAATCACGGATCAGCTAAAGACCCAAGTGCAAGTGCGCTCACTTAGTGACGGAACTTGCGGGCGCCCTTAGCAGCACAGCCGCCGCCAGCAGCAGGAGGGGTCCAACCGCCAGATTCGGGAGTCGAAGGAGTGCTCCAGCTGTTCGAGCCTCCTGTGCTTGTGGCGGGGGCCTCGGTCGTGGGCGACATCTGCGAAGGGTTGTCTTCGGACGAAGGAGTCTCAGGGGTCTCGGCGCCCGAGCTTTCAGTCTCTGGTGTCTCGGCACCGGAGCTTTCGGACTCAGGGGTCTCGGCACCGGAGCTTTCGGTCTCTGGCGTCTCGGCACCAGAGCTCTCCGTCTCTCCACCAGATCCGCCGGTCTCAGTCGAAGGAGTCTCAGCCGAAGGGGTCTCGGCACTTGATCCCTGTGTCTCGGCTCCCGATCCCTTCGTCTCTGTTGAAGGAGTCTCAGCTCCAGCGGCACTGCCGCCAGCAGCACTACCACCGGCAGCGCAAGTGGTTGCCTTGCCAGGCGTCGTCGTGAAAGCCGTCACCGTGAAGTCCGGCTTGCCGCCCTTCTTCCACGTGCAACACGGGTCACCGAACGCCTCACCGTTCGTCATTGAAGCACCAGGGAACGAGGCCTTGCAGAACTCAGCCGTCCACGTGTGGTCTGCTGCACCGAAAGCCGTACCGAACTTGGTAAACTTCGAGCTGTCCTTGCCTGGGTGGCCAAGATCCTGCGCGAACGAGCTGCCGTTCGGGATCTCCTCAAGGTATGACTGCATGGCCGATGTCGAGTCCATTGTGGTGGCCACGATGAGGGCGGAAGCAGCGAAAGCAGCGTAGGTCTTCATACTGGTAGTAGTGTTTGTGTGTTGATCTGAAAGAAGCTGGCTGGAAGCTCTTTGGCGGTGCGAAGCAAATTGCCGAATGACAACATGGTGTGCGTCGAACTGCGAAGCAGGTCGTCAGTCCGCTGCTGGTGCAGCAGAGATCTTCTGTCGGATGGGATTCCAGCCGCTGCGATAGTACCGGTATCGTTTCAAACCGTCAAGAGCTCCAAACACGATGGGACTTTCGAGATGAGAACCAAGTGACAGGACATAAATCGTCCGGATGTCGGAGTGCAACTTGCACCTTCGTTCTTGCTGACCTGAAAAGGTGTTCTTTACAAAACAACACCTTTTCAGGCACAGTGTTTTGTAGTATTTTAGAAACATCAATTTAATAAGTGTTGACATTTTCCGGAGCAAACCATCACGAAGCTGGCGACAAATTCCTAGAGCTGGTACATGGGAATCTGCACTACCCGTACCTGCCAAAAGGTGCCCATGGACGCAAGGCTGGCGGCCTGCTTTTGGAAAGACTGTAAGACCCCCAAAAATTGGGATTGGTTACACCTTTCAAACCTTTTTCTGACTATAATCCTTCTCACTTATTGAAATATTTGCCGCTACAACTCATTAGCTCAGTGATTGGGTCCAGCTTAACCATACATGTACAACTTGGCCCCATTCAAATGCATGCATTGCGCAGCATTCTTGCTGTCTGCGCCACAAACACGTTGGAATTGAGCGCGTGATGATGTTTTCACAATCACCAACCTATTAATACCAGTGTACGTGTGTACATGTACTGGATTACAGTATGTAAAATACATGTACCACAGTGTGTACAGTACAGTATGGAGGACGAATAATAGCATCCGTCGTACAATCGTAGACACTTCAACGGGGCACTGATTTGCATGAGTGCACCATCAAATTCCGTCGGTCGGACTCCGACTCGGAGCTGTTGGGGGTGTAGAGGCCACCAACATGTAGCAAATCGCTACATACGGGAAAGCATCTGAACATTTCATCGCAACAAAGTCTACACGAACACTACATAAACAGACAGAACTAAAAAAATAAACACGGATTCTCTTGCGCGCTATGGCGGTCTGCTCATCCAGACTGTACGGGAATCCGTTTCCGAGCCCTTTTTGCAATTGTAGAAGTACTTCATGTAAGAAGCTTTATTTTACTAAATTAAGAAGTAGCTTGTCATTGTAAGGGCCACTTTAATTAAAATTAATAGCAAGTAATTTGAACTTTTAATCGACGAGTCCAAAGATGACGAAGCGACTGTGAGCGCGTACATGTACCGGTCTACGACAATGCACAAGGGTGTCCTTTACATTACCTTACTGTTTGGCCTACAGTCACTGCACTATGGGCTAGGTCTAGCCCTAAACCACAGTGTGGTTGCGAATCGCAACTTAAGGTTTGTCGGAAATGGATTTAAATAGCACACTAGCACACTGTGCGTATTCATAGAAAAATTCCTAATAAGCAGCTTATCAAAAAGGGAGTGAGTGCTGCACCCACCTCGTGCACATGAAACAGTGCTGGAGGGCTTGAGATCCGCATCCGGCTTGCGGGTATACCTCGTGTAGCGTATACTTTTCCCCCCCACTCATTTTTGCAGCGGGGGCCAATCAGCAGCAGCCAGGAAGCTATGCCGCCCGACCTGCGCGTCAAAGCGGCGGTGCGACCGCCGCGCCACGGAGGAGGGGCGAGTGATAGTGAAGAGGGGGTCGACAGCGACGAGGAGTGGTTCGACTCGTCAGCGGAGGTACGTAGCACTAAGTGTACCCTGGTTACATGAAGTGTGACACTTCACACTTCAGGAGTATGACATGTCATACTCCGGGATATTTGGTACATGGTACCAAGGTCATTCAAAACCAACCATTGGTTAAATGACATTGCATTTCTATAGGTAACTGATAGTTTGTATTAACCTCAAACTTAACCTACCTATAAATATACTCAGTTTACAATCTACCTTATTTAGGTCACTTCGCTCTCTTTAATTAAAGAGGGGACCTGTGAACTGCCGTTCACTGAGAGTTTGTATACTCTCGGAAGATAACTTCCTCTAGCGCAAGGTGCTGTGTGACCCCGTCACACTTGGTAGCACTTGTAGTCAATCCACGCCATCGCGGGTAGACTACCTGAACCTCCGAAGTTCGTTGCCATGGATAGGAACGACTTCTCCCATATGAACGACTCTCAGTTCGAGTCGGTTCGGAAGATGGCAGGCATCTTCGGGATGGAGGCCCTGCAGAGCCTGGTGGTATCAACACCGGCTGAGCAGCTCGAGCGCGACAATGCATTCGACGCGTACGAGCAGGGCCTCATCGCGCATGTGCGGGAGAACCTGCAGGCTCCGGCGGCGGAAGCAAACCCGCCTCACCCGAAGCCAATACGGCTGAAGGTAAAGCCGTATGAAGGGAAGGAAGGCGAGAACCTTCACTTCTGGGTCCGAGAAGTAGAGCTCGCGATGGACGCGGCTCTGATCTCGACCGAGCAACTGCGTGTTGCTTTTGCACTCTCCAACCTTAGCGGTCGTGCTAAGAGTTGGGTGTACACTCGGGAAGCGACATCCCCTGGATGTTTCACATCCTGGGCTCAGCTGTGCCAACAGCTCCGAGCCGCGTTCCTCCCGGCGAACTACGAGTACCGCCAGCGTTCGCGCTTCCTCGCGTGTAAACAAGGAAGACGCGAACTGCACGAGTATGTGCAAGAGATACGGGAGCTCACGGCGTCCCTAGTGGGAAACCCACTCAATGAACACATCAAGATGACTGTGTTCATGGACGGCCTTCGAGTGGGCCCCGCACGCACTCAGCTGTTCCGGGTGCAGGCAAGCACCCTTGAAGAGGCGATTCAAGTGGCTCTTCAAGAAGAATACAGCCATCGCCAGGCGCGTACGCCGGCCTCAGCGTGGCCTGGGAGTTCCTTGTCGGCTCCCGGTCGAACAAGCCCCAACGGACCAGCTCCCATGGAACTCGGGTCCGCCGAACAGCGTGACATCCGCTGCTTCGGCTGTGGGAAGATGGGCCACTTCAAGCGCGACTGTCCCGCGGAAAGACTCCGCAGACGGTCCTTCCCCAAGCCCGTCCTCAAGGGTCGCTGGCAGAAGCCAGGATCCCGGGGACAGGGGAACGCAGGGAACCAGTAGGGGCGGGGCGCCCTACTGGGGAAGAACTAAGTCTTCGTGATGGGTGCGCGGGTGGCGCGTACCACGGGGACTTAGCCCCTGAGAGTCTTCGCACTCTCGAATCGGCGAAGAGCAGCGGCGGGTTGCTCGTAGTACACGGATGTGTACGGGGGTACGATCACCCCTTTAGAATCTTGATTGACTCTGGGGCGTCGAAGAATTTCGCACGCCGCCAGACGGTTGCTCGTAACAGCAACAAGTTGTCCGAAGCTTTGCGAGAAAGCAAGGGCAACGGGACGGTGTCAGTGCGACTGGCCGACGGGAAGGTCGTCACTGTCCCCAACGTCCAAGTGGATCTGGCTGTCAAGTTTGAAGACTTTGACAGCCTCGAACAGTTCACTGTTCTCGATATGGATCCATATGATATGATCCTGGGCATGCCCTGGCTTGAGAAGCACGAGCCCTGGATCGACTGGCGAGGCAAGGCAATCGGTGCCAGCCGCCCTGCGCAGTCCGACAGAGCATTGGTGAGTCATGTTCCCACCTCTGTCAGGACCCGGGGCGCCCGCAAAGGGTTGCCAGGGTACCAAAGCATCCGGCAGATGCTTGGGAGTCGTCGACGTATATGACGACTCCGAGGATGTTTTGATGGTGGCCGCGCCCAGAAGAGGCGCCGGCCAAGTGGGTAACTTAGGTCCACAGGCGGGTAACTTAGTTCCGCAGACAGCTGCAGCTGTCATGAACACTGAGAACAGCGTGTTCAGAGTGGGTAACAGAGTTCCACTCACGGTCGCCCAGACCATAACTGAAGAGGAAGACGTCGGATACGCTTCCTGTGTGAGTAACACAGTGCCACACGCGGTCGCCCAGACCTTAGCTGAAGAGGAAGGCGTTGAACACGCTTCCTGTGTGGGTAACACAGTGCCACACGCGGTCGCCCAGACCTTAACTGAAGAGGAAGGCGTTGAACACGCTTCCTGTGTGGGTACAACAGTACCACACGAGGCCACGAGTGCCTCGGATGTCGTAGCGACGACATCCCTAGACGTGGGCAGCAAAGCTCCCCGTCACAGAAGCCGTCGGCAAAGACGCCGCCGCCGCCTCAAGTCGGATCCGAACTTCGTTCCGATCGACGTCGCTTCAAGCGACTCGGAGTCCAGGGCCCGGGCTCCTCCGACAAGGCCGGTGGAAGAGTGTTATCACATCTTCGATAGCGAGACGGGTTTACCCGTCAAGGCATCTGGTGTCCACTTGGAACCGTTGCCAGAGGTTGCAGAGATACTGAACCTCGAGGAAATGACGGCTGAGTCTTTCCTGGCCAACCTCAAGGCTGGAGAGATCGCTGAGATGGTACTCATGAGACCTGAGACCACTCAGGAGGAGCTGAACTCCTCCTCTGTCTTGGACGAGAACGTCCTGGAAGACATGAACAAGCAGCGTCAGGCGCGCTTGGGTTCTGAGATTCTCAAGAACCCCAAGGATCCGGTGTATCCTTTGGTGACGGAGTATGCGGACGTGGTGAATAAACACCCACCGACCCAACTCCCACCGGATCGAGGCGTACGGCACGAGATTGATCTCGTGCCCGGCACAAAGTATTGTGTCACGAGGCAATGGCCTCTCCCGCGCGAACAGTGCGAGGTCATTGATGCCTTCTTCGCCGCGAAAGCGAAGGCAGGCATGGTGCGGGAGTCGAAATCCCCGCGCTCGACGCCGACTTTCTGCGTTCGTAAGCCGAACGGAAAGTGGCGTCTGGTTCACGCTTATAACAAGCTGAACAACGCAACGGTGCCGGCCCAAACACCGATCCCACGAAAGGATGTGTTGTTGAACAACATGGCCGGGAGCGTACTGTACAGTGCGCTGG